CACACACACACACAGTATCATTAAAAATCTCCCACACACACCGTAAATGTACAATAATCTCGTGAAAAATCTTAAATGAAAACGGCAAATATAAATATAAAATTTATATCTTTCTATAACTTTTCCATGCTTTCAAATCTTAAGAAATGAATCACAAAGGTACGTTCAAATACAAATGAAAACAATAGACACTTGAAGTTAATACAGTACACGACATGAACAAACCGAGATTTGATACAATACAACACTGAAATAAATTCGAGTGGAAAATCAACAATTGACTATAAATGAGAGACAACAAGGGTGCAATGCACAAACATTTTTAAATTAATAATACAGAAAAGAGAGAATTCAATCAAGTTTGATATCAGGAACGTGTCGAACTTTGTAAAAATCATCACCTTCATCTCTAAGTCGATCTTTAAAATCGTCAGACATCCAACGAACATTCAGTTTTTGCAGTGTAGTAATGAATTTAAGCCCATCCGGGAGCATTTCCAGTTGTTCGCAATGAGCAATAACAAGACGACAGAGCTTAGGCATGGCTCCTGCATCGATCCTCCATCTCTTCAAGTTCGACAAACCCCACACTTTCAGATACAGAAGTCTCGGGAACCCCTTACTCGAGCAGGCCATTTCTTCTCCCACGTAAGTCGAATCAAATAATGTTAAGCTACTTAACTTTGGTAGGTTCTCTAGTGTTGCCATGGGGTCTTCCTCGAGTAAAGATGCCTTGAAGGCTATTTTAGCAATGCTTGATGAGAAATGGAAAAATTCCGGTAACTTACCAATACGTCCCTTTATGGATAACTTGTAAAGACGATGACACCCGAGTAGTGTCCTCAAAAGACTTAACTCGGCATCTGAACAAAACTGCAGGCAAGAAATGGAAAGGGACGAGCGTCTAAGATGATTCTGTGTGAAGCTTATGTACTTAAGTATATTTGGCAGGTCATCAAGATTATCCTTTATCGATGCTCTTAGTTTCCGAAGATTAGTCAATGTGTCAAGATCTTTCACATCGCACAAGCTAGTATTGAAGTTTATTAAAGTCTCCAGCTCAATTAATCCATCCAGTCTTAATTTCAAACCATCCTGAGTCTGAAACTTTGAAGGAAGATGTAGATGTCGTAGACTTTTCATTTTCCAGATGATATTCGGGATTTGCAGTGAATCATCAACTTCCAAATCGAGTGTTTGCAAGTACACCAATTTGCTCAATGATGACGGCAACTTCTTGAATTTAGAATAGCTCAAACTCAAGTACTTCAAGTGGATCAAGTCTCCAATCGATTTAGGCAACTCATCGGCAGATTGAAATCCTTGAAGATATAAAACTCTGAGTAACTTGAACCTACTGAGATGAAATCTCATTTGTTGCAAAACATCATGCCTACAATCATTTGCATAAAAGAAAGCCGACCTGATGTGACGATTTTCACTACAAGCAACAGCGTCATGTGTAATATCAGAATCCAAATCAGAATCCAAATAAAAGGAAATTCTTCGAATTCTACTGCTCGATGATAATGAATCCATGGGTTTCTTATCACGTCTAAAATAAATGACATTGGCAAAGTTTTCGTCTTTGGCTTTAGACAAACAAAGATCCCGCATAAGATCGTGAAGACGACAGTTTTTGAAACCACCAGCTGTTTCTTTTACGTTGACTTGGACCATGCATCTTTCTGCCAGTTCAGCCAAGTAGCGTTCAGCTACATCCATCATTGTCTCTTCTTCAGCGCGTTCTCCCTGTGATATGATGCCTTCGGCCACCCAGAATTGGTACAATTTCTCTGCTTCTATCTCAAACTCCTCTGGAAAATTGGCCAGAAAAAGAAAGCATTGCTTGAACTGATACGGAAGGTCATGGTAACTGAAGGATAAAACCTCTGTTACTGCTCGCTGTTTTCCATGACCTCTGCCCCGAGCCAAATACCAATTGATGTTCTCGTTTACCGTTTGCCACTCTCTAACACTGTGCTTTGTTACAAGAAGTCCACCAAGCACCAAAATGGCTAATGGCAAACCACAACACCGTGCAAGCATATCCTTTCCTAATATCTCCATCTCGGGTTCAATCACATACTCTGCAAAGTAAGAACAAGAAAATCACTACCTTCATCTTTAGGATATTTGCACGTGCCTTAACTATTCTATTCAATTCAAGGTGGCTTGGTTCAAATAATGGGAGACAAGCCATCTCCGCCCTCCTTACCAGAGCATGCTAAGGATGAAGGCCAATTAAAGAATCAAATATTTTGAAATAAGTATACTAGGAATCCCCAAATAAATAAATACATGAAGAAAAGTTGATTCCTCGATAGAAGATCAGATATTCTGCAGTT